TGCGAACCGTTGTGGAGATAGAAATATCGCGTCGGGTCTATAGGCACTTTCAGAGGCTGGAGAAGACTCGTTGAGCTGCGTCAATACGGGAGACAATGTCATACTTACTCTGTGCGCCAACCTCGCACTTAGGTATTGGAAACTGTCTACTTCTTCAAGTCGACAGCCACTTATCTCGGAAGGTGCCCTCACTTTGAGAGGGGTGCAGTATGAAAACCCTTTGGTCTTCCTAGCATTTATGGACAAGCTGATCGATCTCAGGACCTCGTTCGCCTGTACCAACATAGACTGGAGATCGTCAAAGCTTGATGCTAGTAAAGCGCTATCATTGGCATAGTCGAGGTCAATGAACCGGCGTCCGGGTGCAAGCTCAATACCGTCACTTTCTTGTAGAGCCTTCCCGAGAACCCAGTCAATGACGTAGTTAAAGAGGATGGGCTACAGGACACAGCCTTTTTGAATGCCAGACCGAATGGCGAAGGGTTCTTAGAGGTTGTTATGAACTAAAGTCTGCGCAGTGGTGGAGCGGTAATATTTGTTAATAATTGTGATTATTTTTTGTGGCACACCATCAAATGCCACTATCCGCCATGGGGAGTCCCGATGGGCGGAAACGAACGCAGCGGCAAAGTCAACAAAGCAGACGGTGGGTTGTTGGTAGCTGTGGCGGAAATAAAGGATCCGTCTCAGTGTGAATATGTGATCCACAAATCCGCGTCCATCGCGAAATCCGGACTAGTAGGGTTGCGTCCTAGAGTCGCGCACATACTGGATCCGCCTGAGGAGAACAGTGGCGAAGATCTTCGCAGCAATGTCAATAAGGCTTATGCCGCCGTAGTTCTTACATTTTGTATAATCTCCCTTCTTGTGGACAGGCACAAGGATTTCTGAGCCCCAGTCATCAGGAACAGCCTTGTTTCTCCACGCTTGTCCAAGCACCTTGTGGAGCCAAGGCGCCATGTGTCGACACAAGACCTGTAGATTTTAGTGGGTATGACCTCCTCTCAAGGCGCCCTATTGTTGCGCAGCCCTTTTATAGCATCAGCAATTTCTCCTTCAGAAGGCGGGTCGCATGGCACTGGATAAATAAGAGATGGAGGAGGCTCTGTTGTAGATGAAGCAGGGGTTGGGCGCGGTAGGCTTCGTACCACAGTTGAGGAGGTGCTCGAAATGCTCACGCCAGCGCTTGACCTTGGCCACGTTGTCAGCAATAAAGCCACCATTCACATCACGAACTGAGTCATTCAGTGAAGACAGCTTACCACTAGCCTGAGGAATAAGGTAATAGAGCTTTCGAGTATCATCAAAGTTAGAGGCCCGCTTCATGATTGTTGTTATTTCAGTCCAGCCTTTCCTCCGGTCCTCTCTGGCCGATTTTGCTGTCATCTTTCTTAGTCGGCGGTGAGAATCATCATTACAGTCACTAGCTCGGGGCTACCTCAGCAGACAACTGCAGGGTTCGTCTGCTGATCCAGTCATTGTGGCGTCGATGGGTGTATCCAAGGCCTTTTTCGACTGCTCCATTGACTGACGTTTTAAGTGGGGACCATTGGCTACTCCCTTCTCTGTTGGCTCGGGTCATGAAACAGGACAGGATTTCTCTGCTCAGAACCTTAGCAGTGTTGGGTTGCCAAATTTTGACGATATCGAGGAGTCTGGCGCGTGGCAATTTGCGCGCAGATGAGAGGTGAGCTTTCAAGTGTGTGTGAACAAGAACTTGGTCAGACCCATGGACATTACTAGTCTCAGCACCACGCAGCGACCTACTATCGAGAACCTAGCTGCGGAATATTGAGTTGACTAAAATGTAGTCTATCTGACTGGCCGTATGGCCGTCGTTGGAGTGCCAGATTAGCAAGTGTTTGTTGCGATGCTGGAAGCACGTTTTCGTAACAAACAATCAGTTGCGTCCAGCAATCTTTCACCATTCTCATATCGAGAACCAAGCCCAAAGCGGCCGATAAGATGGCTATTTGTGGAGTCACCAGGCCCAAACCGGCCATTTCAATCCCCGGCAACAATCAGTAGATCGCGGACGGTTAGTCTTATTGCATTTTACGTCGTCTGTACAGCCAGGGTAGTGAGAATTTCTTCTGAATAAAAGCGACTTCAGCCTGCCACCTGCACACTGAAATAAAGTTTTGGTACACAAAAGCCTAAAAATCCTGGATCTGTTTAGCTATTAATAAAGAGGTGTTATGTGTCAACGCCTGAGAGGCAGCTGCTGTTTCCAAAATGGGCAGAACAGTAATTTAGAAACTGAGGAAACTTGGATTAGTCCTTTGATTTAAGATGGAGTGATACAGAGATGATGTTTTTTGGTGCAAAATTCATGAGGCAAACTTTCTTTCGAGTAACTGACCCACTGGAAAGTATTGTAAAGAAAGCGATTTACCCAATGACTTTCTCCAACAGAGTATCGGGCTCCGTAAAAATTGGTCGTTTCCGAAAGTTAAAGCTCGTTTACTCGCTTGGAAAAGTTTCGCTTCCTCAAAAGAAAGCATGAGGGAACGGAATTTGTTCGATATTAGAGACCAGAGGCGTTGTTTATTCAAAAAAAGATTATGACGCTTTATGAAAGTGTTTATTAGAGAAAACGTATGAGGCCACTGGAACAAAGTTACAATGCCGCTAACGTCTCGGACAGCTGGCTTTAACACAACCAATTCAGTGCTATTTAATTGACATTGATAAGGATCCAAGGCGTACCCCGAGCTTCTCCGGGTTGGCAAAGCCAGCTTCCCATCAGACAATATGAATTGGAGATTGTCGCTTACGTGTTGGGGGTGTGGAGGTTGAAGGCGAGGGGTGTGATAGGAGATAACGCATTGCCCTACTAACCTTCCCGAACCTGGATCCAGTAAATCCTCTCTGCTGTAGTTCTTGAGATGGACCATTGTGAAGCAATTGAAAATTAACAAACAACCTAAATTTCCGAAGGCTTTCTAGTTTGCTTAAGAGGGCCTAAAAGACAGGAATGGCTAGTTTTAGCTTATTAGTCGTGGTCATTCGGCCAAACTAAGACTCAGAATTAGAACATGGATTCTTTAATTAGTAACAGTCTTTAGTCCAACGCTTTACAAATGAGCTGCTTGTCAGCCCTGCGAGAATTACTGTTTCTGATAGTAACCGACAAGACACTGGGCTCGTGACTCATAGGTAAAGCATTAGACTTAAAATACTTAATGACCAAAGAGTCCGAGTTAGAATCCAGTGTCATGCAAACATGGGATTAGCCAAGCCTGACTGATAATGGCTATTAAGATAGAAATGGTCAGTCCGATCTCCCTTGTCCTTTTCGATACCCCATCCTACATATATGAGTGGTCGCTATACGACTGCCTGCGAGGGCTCTAGGTTGGGTCCCAAGGCGCATCGATAGGAGAACATTCCATAATCCGATCGCATGATGCCGCTCCTACGATAGTTTCTAGTTCCTTTATGACCTTCCTGGAATGCCCTTCACTAGAACCGTAGACAGTCCCACATTGCTTACCGTCATCTGTGATGCAAGTCAATCAAAGAATGTCATCTGTTGATTAAAACTACTCCATATATACCCAATATTCCCTTGAATTATTGGATAAGCGACTTCTGTGACAATAGTAACCACGGATCCACTATATGGAAAGTATGTCGTTAAGTTTTTATTACTTTAAGCAGCTGTTGTACCATGGATTCATCCAGCTGCGTCCCCATAAAGCCTATTCAAACCATATCTTTTAAGACTTCGAGGTAAATAATGGTGGTCTCAATGTGCGTCTACCCTGTAATCTTTCCAGTAAATGCGAATTTGGAGAAGAAACCGAATACATCCAATTCCGTGTTTTTAAACAGTCCGTTCAAAAAAATGTAATAATACAAAGGATTTCAGAATTCCAAACAGAAGACGAACAGTTTTCAATGCTTTTCTGCTCTTTCTTGGCCACATACGGCAGTCATATCTGTCAACCAACGACCCCTGCAGTTTTTCAAAGGACTCACTCATACACGACTGTAAGTTTGGCATAATGCGAAAATGAAAATCAGTTACACCAGAGGACAGTTAGGAGCGAAACTATCTATATCAAGAAACCTGCAATTCCTGCTTGTAGGGAGCTCGGAGCTCCGAAAAGAGATAAATGGCAGAATCATTGAACAGGAATAAATCAAGTGACCTTTTAGGATAATTGCAGTCCATGTGCAATCTAAGGCAATTTTTCTTGATTAAGAGAGTCCTGCTTCGCGCCCGAACATATTCTTAATAGCCGAGAATACACGAAGCCCGGGTAATTGAGTAGTAGACGGTAAAGCGTTCTCTGGGACCAGTATTTTATTTGCGCGACGTTTCGAACTTTCATGTGAGCCCATTGTCAAGGGATAAAAAATATACAGCTCACTGGATATTTAACTCAGCTCTGTCGGAAGTGACATTGACCTTTATCTCCGTCCCCGATCTGTTCATGCAACGCGAGATAGGCATCGGGAAGATCGATACGCCTATTAATTGAATCCGTGTGTGTGCTATGCTTTCTGCCCAATATTTCAAAGAGTAGACAGTGCCATAAAAAGTAACGACCGATTTTGCTCGGGCTCTTTATAGTTTAAAAATTAGTTACTGTTTAGAACGCGCCCTTGTTTATTACTTGGGCAGCATTTTGCCTGGGATTAAGGCTAGTCTGGCTGGATATTCAATTTAGCTATCGTCATAGGCAGAGGGTGGGTCCGGCTTGCGTGTTTAAACGGAAGCCGATCGATTTTTCCATGCCTGAGCCACCGGCCTGTCATGCCGAGTATTGCGTGAACCGCATGTCATGGACTCGAGGAAAGGCGTGCTAAATATGATCAGAGTACACGCGCATTGTAATGAAGTTAAGGGAATGTCGAAAACCGGGATTCTGTACTGGAGTTTCCAGACTGAATGCTGACGTCAGCTGACCAGTCTGTTTTAATATAACTAGCGTAGGCTAGTCTGTCTTATAATGAGATCTTTCGATATTAAAAGTTCTTTGCGAAAGGATACCAAACTTTATCATTTAAATTTTCGAGTCTGGTCTCCCAGCTCGTCGTCAGAGGAGTAAGAAAATAGTCAACTTAAAACGATGCCTAACACAAATTTCTAGGGTTAGGCAGAATGTAAGCCAAACGTCTCCACCCTTATAAGGCCTAAAGTCCCGCTTTAAAGCTCAAAAACGATCTCAGATTTAAGAATTATTTTTCAGCAAAAATGTTTATCTTATTAGAAGAAAACTTGTACAAATTAACGAAATCTGGTTGGTATAATGGTAATTTTTCTGAAGAACGTTCCCAATGTTCCTTTCCAGTTGTATAGTTGAACTTATTTTTGGTTGATTTGAGGCATCTTGATGAAGTAACGTTAGATAGGATTAATGGTTTTTCTAAGGATTGAGTTTTATGCTCGGGTATGTCCCAATTTTAATAACCAGATAGAGTAAAACATGAAATTGGCGATTACGGTTACAGGAGACCGATGCATTGCAGATTTAAAATCCAGAGCTCACTTTGCGTTCTGCACGACACGCTAGCCGCTACCAAGACTGTTTTGAACATGGACTCATAGAATCGAACTTTGTTTGGCATTATGTTTATTTTAAATGTGTGATTTAACCTTTATAAGAAATAAACCCTGAAATTGGGTTGAATTTTGGACACTCTTCCATCAGCACTACAGTAAGGAGTGGGGTATACATTAAAGCCATCGGAAATGGCATACCTTTTAGGAAAACTTTCTGATAGGTGAGTTAATGCAGATGCTAGTTTGTCTTTTATAGCTCAGATATCAGGTGCTAATACGTTAAGTAGTACAGAGTGTCATGACTGGAAACGCACGTTGTAGTTGTATGATCATTCCAGGTCCATTGATGCGTTTGGATGCAAGTTGCACGACCTTAAACTAACAAATATATCTAGCAGAACGGGCACTACCAAAAGTCATCATGCAGAAAGTTGTAGGCTAGGTGCATTGGACCTGACTATGCAGGATCGATTAGTGTGGTAAGGAGTACCTTCAAGCTGTACTCCAACAGTCCACATTAGCAAGGTGACCACTTCCCGGTAACTGTCCGAAGACCGACGGACTAAGTCAGGTCAGGGTGTCCAGTGATTGTGTGTCTTCACACCCAACAGCCCCTGAACTAATCCCCAAACTCCCTCTCTCCACTCCAAAACGAATAATTCCTATGAAGGGGGTGAAATGCCACCAAATAGGTGATCCAAACTAACTCGGGTCGTCTTCGTACTACATAAAAGTCGAGATGCATAAATAAATTCAGCAGCCGCCTGGGATCTCTAAGTTACCTTATTTGGGGGTAGCACTACTGATGTTCTTGCTTTTAAACGGGTTAGAAAATGTTTCCTAAACATTATGGTAAACCACGTTGTCGGCA